AAGGAATGGGTGTCAGAGAAGCGTCCAGACTGAAGGCAGGTCCTGACTCTGGCCGGCCTCGCCTGTGCTCTGGAAGGCTTTGCCTCTCTTCCCTTGTATACGTTCCCTCTCCCTACTCATCCTCCCTCATCCTGCCTGAAAAGCAGGTGCTAAGATGTCCACCCCTCCAATTAAATCACTGCAGACCCTCTGCCCCAGGTTACAAAAAAAAAAAAAGACCCACCCTTTTTTCAAGCCATGACATTTTGCTATTTTGCTCTTGCTTTAAGCCTCCCAGCTAAGGAGAAAAGACAAAAGGCAAGTGTGTGCCCTGCCTTTAAGACGGGCTAAAAGCCCCCAATATCTGAGGATCCTCAGTTCCTGGAAATCTAATTCATTAGACACACACAAAGTACCATCTTAGTCCCACTGCCTTTCAGATGCTATTTGTTCCCAGTGTCTCCCTTTCAGGCCTCTGTAAACTCTCCCAATTTGGAAATTCTCCCAGATTTTTCACAGATGACTAGCAAATATTTAAAGCTTTCAAATATTTTAATGATCAGGGATTAAAGATAATTCAGCTTTAATTAAAGCAAAAACCCTTTTACAATAAAAAGAAAAGGCCTCTGCAGCCGCAGGAAGCTTGTTTGCAAGTGCCCCAGAAGCAAAAGTCAGTTTCTTAAACAAATCCATGAAAGTTTCAATGGTGAAGCGCCAGGCCCCTGGCTTTCAAGGTGGTGTGGCACAGCTAGTGACTTAGGTGGGGTTCAGGGGTCCCTCTCTTCCAGCAGTTGCCTACACTTCCTCTCTATCTCATGCCCGCCCTCCCAATCCTGCCTTCCAATAAGGAGCTGTCAGCCTTCCCATCCTGCCAGCCAGCCCCAATTCCTCTTCTTAGCTTAGAAGAGGGAGACCACCCAAAAGGGAGACTGTACTATAATAAACTGGAACAGACTGTCAGAGACGGGATGCATAGGGTACAGGGAAGATTCGCGAACCTCCTGTGGGGCACTGGGTGAGTCAAGGCGGGGAAGGCCAATGGGGAGGTGATGTATGTTTAGCCACGCCCGGGAAGCACAGGAGTTTTAGCTGCAACTTGGGCCTAAGGTTCTCCCACGGACAGACGGATCTGGGCGCTTTACCTGCACCCGGACTTCGGGGAGGTTGACCTTGCTGGCTAGCTCCTCACGGCTGTACACGTCGGGGTAGTGCGACTTCTCGAACGCGCGTTCCAGCTCGTGCAGCTGGTACGTCGTGAAGGTCGTGCGGTTCCGACGGTGCTTCTTCTTGGGCAGGTCTTCCTCCGACAGCTTTGAGTCGCCGGCGGTGGCCGGCCCGACAGGCAGCCCCGGGGTCAGCCGCGCCTCCCCAGGCTCCTTGAGGCAGTGGGGGCGAGAGACTGGGACGAGGAGACCTGGGCGGATCAGAGGCCATCGGTCCCCAGGACTAGCTCTGGGCCTACCCCGCCTACCCGTGGCCGCTGGCCAGCTCGATGAGCACTCAGAGATGGGTAGAGGAGGGGTGGGGGAGAAGGCCTCGAGGGACCCCAAGGGTTCTGTGAAGTTCCTGATAGGCACACATCCGTCAACCTCACGTCCACAAGTCTCAATAAAAGTTAAGGCTGACTTAGTATAAGTCAGGGCTTATATAAGCAGGGCTTATACTAAAATTGGGCTCCCTAAGAACCCCGGAGCGCCCGGGGGTGTTCCCTTACCTTCGAACTCCGGGGCTGGAGCCAAGGCGGGCGCGGGCGAGGGCTCAGCGCCTTCCTCAGGCGCCTTGGGGCAGGCGGCCCGAGCGCCCGGCTTCTTGTCCCGCTCCTTCGCGCCTCCGGCGTCCCGCTCCGCCCGGAAGGAGTCGAGGATCCCGTCGTCCTTGGTAAACCCCAGGATGGCTTCGATGCTGTGCAGACGCGAGGTGCCTCCGCCCGGGCTGCGGAGCAGGTGACTGGCGAGCGAAAAGCTGCCGTCCGCCATCGCGGGGGCGCAGCCCGGCAGGTGCATGGGGCGCGCAGGGAAGCGGGAGGGCGCGGCCTGAGCTCTCTGTAGCGCCGCCTGCTAGGGAGGCTGCGAGAAGTACCCAGTCGGTTCTTCCCGGGTATCGCCGTCCAACTCCGAGGGTCCGAACCCAGATTCAAGCTAGGCGGGTGACGCGGGCCTGGAAGCGCGCGCTTAGCGGTGGGCGAACGCTTGACCCGGAGCGGCCTGGCCCCTGCAGGAGCCGGAAGGTGGGAGCCCAGCTCGCTGCGGCTCGGGGCGCTGAAGACTGCAAGCCGGCCGGCCCCGGCTCCTCCCCTCCCGCCCGGACCTCGCCTCTCCCCTCGGCCCCTCCCCCCGTCGTGGGGCGGACCTTCCCCTCGCCGTGCCCAGGGGTCCTCGACCTGCCACCCCGCGCGCGCCAGCACTGAGAGCCTTCCATCCCCACTTCTCCACCCGCTCCCCTCACTCCTAGCACGCTCCGGGGCCGGACGTGGGGTGTTTGACAGACGTGGGCACCCGGGTCGGGGGTAAGGGCCGGCTCCCCGCGGTCGCGCCTCTAAGGGACCAACTCCTAGGTCGCACCTGCCTCCTGAGGCTTAGTGTTGTCCTTCCCAGAGCTCACCACCCCCATAGTCTTCCCGGCTCTGACTTGCTTCTGGCACAGGCTGGCTTCTTCCAGTCGGCTGAGCGCCTAGGACGAGGCTGGGGAAGACCCAGCAGGAGGCTTCCTGGTCCGACTGCTTTGGAAGCCATCGCTCATCCCCCGCAGGCACTCTGCTTTCGGACCCTTAGGCTGAAGTCCCGGACCTCCGGACTTTAACAACTGGAGCTTTAACAACTTCAGTGCCGCCCAGGAGGTGGTGGGGCCATCTGTGCCCGCTGGCCCGGCGACCTCCAGCGCCCCGCTGCTCAGCAGGAATCCAGGAGGCCCGGGGACAGCCGGGCCCAGGCCTCGCGGGAGACCCGGTAGCAGGTTCTTCACTCTCAAGCTGTCCTGCGGGAATCACCGTTTCCTCCCTCCTTCTCTCCGCCCCCCTCACCCCCACACCCCAGGCAATTCTCCAGGCCAACCCCAGGCTGGGGACCCACCTGCTTTCTGGGGAGAAGGCCCTGGGCCTGAAGGTTGAAGGCATTATCCGCTTGCATTTCTTCCTCCTTTGGGAACCACTCAAGATTTCCATGGCCCAGAGAGACTCACAGGCCGAGTGAAAAGATGGTTTTGATGGCTGTCGAGTTTATGCTGGTATTGTGCCTGGCACTGTGAGCTCTGGCATGTCTGAAATCTGATGCACCAGCCAGCCTACATGTCCACCGGAGCACCTTTTTAAAGCCTAACGACCTGCAGAAGCAACGTTCTTAAAATTTCTTTGCTGGTAGTGCGTGGCCTTCCACGCAGCTTCTTTCTCCCTGTGCTTTATTTAGTCCCGGCTGCATTCTGACCAGTGTTTATGAGTCCCTTCTGCGGGGGCAGCCCCGCATGGACACACTCCATCACAAAAGTTGGGAAGGCCAGGGCTGCTGGCCTGAAAGGGTTTCATGTCCAGCATGGAGACAAAGAACCAAAGCAAGCAAGCAAGACAGACGTTGGCCCCCACCACCTTTCAGCTTCCTTTAGAAGGACATTAACAAGGGCAGGTGTTTGTGTTGGAGAGGGTTATGTGGTTAACTCTCTGCCATGTGCAACCCGTAGGGTCATTCCACAAATGACTCTAGTTTTTATAAAATCAATAAACAGTGGAGTTGAAATAGTAAGCGTGGGGCCTCCCTGGTGATGCAAAGGGGTTAAGTCTCAGCACTGCGAAGTTATGAGCAAAGGTCCAGCCCTGGCCAGGGAGCTGACCCACATGCGCAGCAGACCTCTTCTGTCTTGCCAGCTGCTCCCCTCAGCAGTGTGTTTCAGTCCATCTACCTGTTTTGCTCCCCACTCTGTCTCTGGTGAATCCTCTCAGCCCCATCCCCACCTCTGGCCTGTACCTCCAATTCTTGTATGCATAAATAAATAAATCTTTAAAAATTTAAAAAAGAGAAATAGCAAGCATGTGAATTTGCAGTAAAAGGAAATTCAGTTCCTGACTTAAGTCAGAAAAAAATAATTTTAAGGGCAAGGGAAATTAACAAGGGTAGAGGTGCATTTATAGCTTTTTTTGGATTTAAGACCTTATACTTTTTAGAATCCTTCCATATACATCCCATGATCTGATCCTCACAAGTCTGTGAGGAAAAAAAAAAAAAAAACTTATACTGTGCTCAAGGGTTAGCAGGAAAGCTATCTTTGCCCCTATTTTACAAAGGGGGAAACAGGCTTAAAGTAATAGAGTTTTAAGTGGAGGGGTCAGGACTAGAACTCAGACCCCTGGGCTCCTTGTCCAGGGTTTACCTGCTGTAGCTCATTTGTAAGTATTATGGCTGAGTGGGATGTCCTTTTCTTTTCTTTTCTTCTCTTTTTTTTTAAAGATTTACTTTGTTATGCATACAGGAGCTGGGGTACAGGCCTGAGGTGCAGGGGGTGAGAGGATTTACCAGAGACAGAGTAGGGAGCAGAACAGGCGGATCTACTGAAATAGGCTGCTGAGCAGGGCAGCGGGTGAGGCAGGGAGAGGTCTGCTATGCCATGTGGCTCAGCTCCCTGGCCGGGGATCGAACCCACACTGGAGTGGTAGAGGCAGCTTAGCTGCCCTAGGAAATGAAGTCAGCATCGGTGGATAGTGGCCTGTGGACGTGGGCATCCAAAAGGACTGGCAACACCTCTGGACCTCCTGCTGCAGGTCAAGCCCACCCCCAGGGCCCTCCTCAAGCCCAAGAATAGTCCCTTCGCATGGCCTGGTCCCAGGGCCAGCTGCAGAGACCAAGTGGCTGGGTGCTGCTGGCCAGAGGGCAGCCCTAGAGATAATTAATTGCTATTTGGTCCTTCCCTTTTGACTGACATGCTTTTTATGTAAACTTCCCCAATATTAAATTGATCCTAGAATCACCGCTAAACAAAGATTGGCAGCGTTTTAAGCTCCTGTCCACACACTAAGGGGCTTATGGCCTTGTTTTCCAAAGTTAATTCCCTCTGGATCTTCCCGGTGCTCCCTAATAGGCCCAGGTGAGGTGAGCTTTTATTTACTGTTTATTTCAGAGTCTCGGGAGAAAAGCAGAAAGGGCTTCAGCAGCCACTGGCGAGGAACGCCAGGGAAACAGGGCTGAGCCGGACAAGGAGAGGTTGAAGCTTCCTTTGTGCAGGACACAAAGAGCTAGTCAAAACCATTGTGGGCGCAGTGGAGGGTACTCCAAGCAATCAGCCGGGGGTCATTGTTAGGGGCTAATCTACATGTGTATTTCCCAAGAACTCGATTAGGGAAGATGAATGGACCCGGCCATGTCCCTCATTCTTCTAGCACGAAGCTGCATTTTTCCAATAGCTACGCCAGCTCGCGATCAGCCCGTTTTCAGCAAAAGTAGGAGCCTGGCTTCTGAACTCCACCTCTGTTTCATTCATTAATTCATTAGGTAGATCAAAGAAAACTCCTCTGCCCAGCCCCCACTAGCGAGCCGACCTTAATCACAGCCAAAACCCCTTTAAACTTGGTGTGGTCGGGGAAACACGTCCACACATGAGGAGGAGAGTGGGGTGACTGGGTAATGGGGTGTGTCTTAAGAGTGGAAAGGGCCAGGTAGGAGAACAACTGAAGGTGGCAAGGAGATTTGAGGGGAAAGTGAGTAGGGACCAGCCAGTGGGAAGGAATCTCAACGGAACCCTCAGTTAGGTAAAGGTGAAATAGAAAGTAGCTCTCTTATCTTGGTTGCGTGCAGAAAGTTCCATTTCTGGAAGATTCTACGTGGACAGCTTCACCTACAACACTCTAAAGAGAAATGGGCATCTGTAGTGCGAGTTCCCTGTGCCCTGGATGGACAGGGATGAGGGTGCAAAGTGAGTCGAGGCCGTTTCAACCTCAGGTACTCACTTTGAAATGTGCTATTAGGCTTGAGTGGAAAATGTCTAAGGCCCTGCAGGGTCTCTCATCTCATAAAGTGTGCCAATCCAATTCGATTGTCTGCGTGTTACTGTCCCCATTAGCAGATGCGTTTGAATCCTGCAATGAGGACATCGCAGGGCCTCCTTCTCCCCCAGTTCACATTCAGTTCTGGTATTTTTAGTTCTAGTCAAAGAAATCACAACTCATATAATCACTGAACGCACACACACACACACACACACACACACAAGGACTGACGTTGAAAAGACTCAATTGTCCAGTTAAAATATAATAGACCCGAAGTTATTACTTACTGAATACGAACTCCATGCCAGCAGATGCGCGTTCAAGTACATACTGTACACGGATTACCTAATTTAATCCTCACAACCACCCTGTGAATTACTCAATATTTTATTTTCACTCTCGGATGATCTGAGATGCAGAGAGGTTACGTCACTTCCCCTAGGTTGTACAGTGGGTTTCAGATGGAGCTAGGACTTACACCCAGGTATTGATCCCCAAATCTAATGACTATGTGTACTCCCCCACCCAAGCCTCCATGGGGCTCTGGCATAAGTGCTCTGTGCTCCCCCATGGCTGTAAGAGAATCAGCAGTAACGTTTCCTTTGAGAATGAAAGGAAAAACATAATATAGGAACAATACGGTTCAGTGTTTGAATGATATGGGATTGAAAAAGGTAAAATGGTTAATGGATAAAGTATTTGGTCAAATATAATGATACCAAATCTGCTTTTAAAAAAAGAATGACATAGGATGATAGCACATTTGTGAATCTCTATGTCTGCATCATATATGGTGATCTAAATGGCTATCGCCATACAAATTTAAAAAAGCACACCCAATATCAAATTCTGTAAATAGCAAGGCTATCTTTTCAAAATTACAGAATAAAAGAAGTTATTATGTGTTCAATATTTTTTTCACTTGCCTTTAGACAAAATAAAAAGTAATTATTGAGTGGTAATTCCATTTCCCAGGCTTCCCTATAAAGTTTAGGGAATTCTGCCTCTGCTCCCTGATTTCTAATGCATTCTCAGAGGTTTGTGAACAAAATATATGTATATATACATTAGCAATGTTTAATAAAAGAGGAGCAGGCATTGAACCACAGAGTCAGGTTCAATTTTGAAGTTATAAATGTCACTATGCAATATTTTGGGGAACAGTCACTTAAAACTAGTCTCCAATTCGGGCTCTCCTTGGTGGTACAACAGGGTAAAGCACTGCATTATAAGGCTCTGAGAAGCCACTGCAGCAGGAGTTCAATCCCCCGCCAGGGAGCTGACCCACATAGCACAGCAGACCTCTCCTATCTTGCCTCTTGCTCCCCTCAGCAGTGGATTTCAGTACATCTGCCTGTTCTGCTCCCACAGTCTCTGGTGAATTCTCTCACCCACAACACCTCTGGCCTGTACCCCAGGTCTGTAAGCATAAATAAATCTTTTTTTTATAAAAAATCTAGTCTCTGCTTCACCTCTCTGCTCTTTCATAAGATTGAATGTGTAAGGGTTAGAGAGGAAATTTGTGGGGTTATCTTGTCTGCTGTCTCCTTTCTAGCGCCCTGTTTTCTTTTTTAGAGGCAGAAGAGTGGGCCCAGAGAAATTAAATGGTTTCCCTGAGACGAGACACACCCTCCATGGTGAGGCCAATCTCCTCCTCCCAGACCCCACTGGGTACTGTGACTGAGCACACTGGGCTCTCGGAACCCCCCCTGGGGTGGTCCCAGAGGAGTGTGTTCATTGTACAAACACAGGGAAGCTACTGCTCACACTAGTGATTATTTGCCAAACCAACGACCAGGGTTCTGAGCTTGCTGCTGACACTGATGCAAACACAAGTAGCTTCTGCAAGAGAAAATATTCCTGCTGGCCATCGATTTGTGAAGCATTTTGGCAAACAACTGAAACTACCCACTAGTATGCTGGAGTCAACTCTCCTTGGCTTGGGAGAGCGAACGATGGGTATCTCTTCCCACTTGGGTCTCAGTGACCTCACATGAGACGTCTGAAATCAGCCATTGTGGTAGGATTTTCACCATGAAAATTGGCAAACAATTAATTAGATTAGAGAGAAAAGAAATTGGCCGGCACTTGTACTGCTCTTACTTCATTAAATCAGAAAAAACTACTAATACAATGAAAATATGATCTATTGGGTAAGAGAGGTCCACCTCTCCCCCCAAATAGAACATTCACAGCATTATTTCAGGATGTGTGAATAAAAGAGGGAAACTTGGGTGTCTGCCAAAGAACTAGGCTTTGTTGGGTTGTTGGAAGCAAAGCTATATTAAGATAATTCCTCTTTACTTGTTTTCTAATTAAACTAATTGAATTCAGAGTGTCTAGGGGAAGCACAAGAGACATTTATCTCAAGGGGATGATGGTCCCGAAGCCCATCAATCCTCTTAGAGAGCTAAGAAGGCAAATCCAGGGATGCCCCTTTGCAGCAGCCTTCACCCCTCCCCCCCATCCTGCCCTGTGAGTTCACCACTCTAGAATTCTTCCCTTTTCTTTTTGAAAGGACATGCATAATTCTCCATCCTCAGTTCATCTTCACAGCACCTATGGAGTCAATTTGTTATATTTCTTTCCAAATCGAGTCAATTGGCTCAACTTCTGGAATATTTCCCTGCGGACTCCATCTTCATCAACGTTGCACTGTAGGCTACTCTTTTATTTGCTTGGACTGAATTAGCCTTCTCACTGCTGTCCTTCCTGCTCCTGCCCTGCAATTCCCTCTCAGCAGCCAGATAAGCATTCAGAGATGTAAATCAGATCATGTCCCTGCTCCATAAAACCAGCCAAAGACTTTACTGTTATACAGAATAAGATCCAAGCTCCTTCGTTCTGTAACACATAATCCCTTCTGTTTCTCAATCAGCCTCATTCAACACTTCTGGCCACCCTCACACAGCCCCAAATTGCTCCAGAAGCCACAGCCACACTGATCTTTACTCTTCCTGAACTCCTCCAGGCCCCTTCCTACCGCAGGACCTTTGCATGGACTATTCTCACTCCCTCAAGTGTTCACATTGTCTTTCTTGTCATCTTATTTTTTCCATGGCACCTTCCACACCCTCCCCCAGAAATGATCATAACTCTATTTGTTTGCTTGTTATTGTTTCTCTCATTCAAATCTAAGCTTCATGAGAAAGGCATCTCACCTCTGGGTCCCTTGCACCCAGAATATCTGCTGAGTATAATGAGTAACCGTGAGGGATTCTATTTTACAAACGAGTAAACAGATTAAGTAACTTGTCTAATTTCACACTATTATTAATTAGGGCGAGTATATATTTTTTCATGTCTTTATAATCTATTATCTAGAATTTTGCATAAGTGTTGTTTCAGATATTTGAAAAATGTCAAACTTCTTTGCTCTCCTTCCCAAATAGCTCACAAAAATCATTTGATCACTTCCAAAAGGATATTCCGTTCACGCCAGTCTTGTTTCCTTCACCGCCTTTGATGTGAGTGTTCGGCTGAAGCAGCCCGTGGCCTGTACTGCCACGGGGTTCAGGGCCACAGTAGGTTCTCCTGCATGGGTACACCCTCTTAGGAAGGCACTGTCCCCCCAAAGTGGCTCCAGTCACTCTGGTGCAAACTGGAAGCTTCAGTTTACTTTTATAGTTGACTGTAGTTTTATGCATACTTGTTTGTCAATTTTTATTGGACTTTCTCCTCTGACCCGTTAAACCCTAAAAGTGCTGATCTTATATATTCTGACCAATCTAATTAGCCCCTTGAAACACCAGATGCTTTCAAGCAGGTTTTCAAGGTGCTCCCAGGTGTGTCTCCATTCAAATGTCAGGAGCTTGTCCTGTCATGAATTCAAGGGATGAACGGGAAAGCTATACAACTTGGAATCCTGTGGGGATTCCGAAATGACTCCACAAGCCAACAGCACTGGTGCATTCCTGCTGGTGTTAGAACTTTAGCAGTTACATAGCATGTGAGAAGAAGCTCTCCAGTTTGAGGATGAAATGGTGACGATATATCGTCATCCGAAGATAGCAATGCATGAAGGATAAGGAGACTAAACTTGTTTTACATGCGAATTTGTTACACGTGGATTTCGGCTTCTGGCTAGCTTTGAAATTTAACCCAAATTAAGGGTTTTTTCAAAATACAAAAATATCCAAGTTTTCCAAATATGAATTAAACTTGTATGGCACCAAACTTTGTCACATGTACTAGGGGTACATGTTGTAGCTTCCCAAAATGCTACTTGTAGTGTAGACAAAACCCTAAGGAGGAGCCAGCAATTCTACTTCTGGGTGGAATTCCACTCACAAAGAATTCGAAGACCAGTGTGGCTGTGGCTTCTGGAGCAACTTGGGGCTGTGTGAGGGTGGCCAGAAGTGTTGAATGAGGCTGATTGAGAAACAGGAGGGATTATGTGTTACAGAACGAAGGAGCTTGGATCTTATTCTGTATAACAGTAAAGTCTTTGGCTGGTTTTATGGAGCAGGGACATGATCTGATTTACATCTCTGAATGCTTATCTGGCTGAGTGGGTACTGCAGGGTAGAACTTAAACACGTATTTGAGGACAGCCAATGAGAGGGGAAAGAGGTGGGAGGAGGGAGAGAGAGCTTAATGTTCACTACCCACCTCCTACCATCAAGGTGAGAGGCTATAACGCTGAGTGAGAAGCCGTGATCACTCCCCAACTCCCCTCCTTCCACTTTCGCCCCCTCCCCCAGCTCAGGCCTCCTGTCCGTTCATCTGTGAACTATGATGGGCGTGCCCAGGACCTGGGAAGTCTGTCCACTGCCTCTGTTCCCTCCCTGCTGCTGTCCTTGGTCCATCTGTTCAAGTGCCAGACTTGAGGCGCCTCATGAGCCGTGCCCGAGCCTGGCTGTGAGGGGAGGCGTGTTGTTATTTGCCCTTGAACTGTAGCCTGGGTCTGGGCGGGCACCCAGATAGTCATATTGACCTGGGATCTGGACTGGTACTGATGGTAGGAGAGGGGAGACCTTCTTCTCCAAGGTAGGAGTCAGAGGGGAAATGCCATTTACCTCTGCTTCTCCTTTGCTGTCCAGAAGATCTTCGAGCACATCCATGTTCTGCAGCGTGCACAGCTGAGCGTTCACGCTCACTATGCTTCTAGCCAAAGCACAGTATGTTTCCTGCTGCTGGGGGCTCGCTAATGTCTACCAGGGACATCTAGAACAATCAAGCTTCTGTCTACCTATTGATAGCGAGCTTGGTCGTCGTGGTCTTTCTGTGTTCGCGATTATTTTTTTTTTAAAGATTTATTTATTTGTGCATATACAGAACTGGGATACAAGCCAGAGATGCAGAGGCGGTGAGAGGATTCACCAGAGACAGAGTAGGGAGCAGAACAGGCAGACTGACTAAGTCCATTGCTGAGGGGAGCAGTGGGTGGGTCAAGAGAGGTCTGCTGCGCTATGAGGGTCACCTCGGGGGTGGGGATTGAACTCATGATGAAATGACTTTAGCTTCTTAGTGTTGTGCTTTAATCCGCTGCACCACCAGGGAAGGCCCTATTTTCTTTTAAAGATTTATTCACTTATGCACACAAAAACTGAGGTATGGGCCAGAGGTGAGAGGATTCACCAGAGACAGAGTGGGGAGCAGAACAGGCTGATCTACTGAGATACTGGAGCTCCACAGTGCTGCGCTCCAACCACTTAGGCCACAAGGGAGGGCTCCTGTGTTCACTTTGTTAAAGTCTAGCCTGCTGATGGTGGCCACAGGACAGTGGTCACCTCCACTGAGACCCGGTCCCCGCCTCCGGCCTGTCTACCTGCCTTCACATCACGGTGCACTTCTGCTCCGCTGACTGCTTGATTTCTGTGAAGGTGGCCTGGGCCTTTTCTTTGATGGTATCTAAGTCCATGTTCTGAAGATTCTGTAACTGCCCGAGAATGGAATCCTTATCTTCTTCCTCTTCTTGATCTTCATCCACCATTTTCCGGAGGTCTTCAGGCAAATCCACATCACCTCCGGCCATCTGGATCTGGTTCTCGTCCATTTCACTCTGGTGGGGAAACACGAGCAGACAGAGATCAATGGACTCTTCCAAGACATGCAAACAGCCATCTTGCAAACAGCCATCTTAAAAGCAGCAGGAAAACACAGGCCTGTTGAAGATGAAGGAATCGGCTGGCGTGCTTGGCTGTCTCGCTGCGCAACCAGGGCCAGAGGCAGAGGCTGGCAGTTTGAGATGCTGCTATTTTAAATCAGAGCAGAGACCCACATGTGTGCAAATTAGCAGACTACAGGATCCAACAGCCCTTGCATCTCCCTCTCGAGGTGATGCTGTTCCCCCTTCCAGTAGAGTGGAGGGGGAGACACTCCAGGGGCTGCTTAGGCGATTGTTCTTAGCTTTGGACCTAGAAAAGTGCAGGAATGCTCGCCAGGTGACACGTAAACTACTTTCCATCTTTGAGTGGCTCTCCTGATGCTTGTCTAGTTCTGAGGCTCCAAGTCTCCTTCCTTCTCCAGCTGATGTTTCATGAGGCTGCAGCCACACCCCGGGCTCCCTTCTTTTCGTGGGTTCTCTGGGCAGAGTGGCAGCCAGCGTGGCCCTGGAAACAACATCTGGAGGAGGCCAGACATGGAGGCTGGGTCCTCTCCCTGAAGCCCTTCCAGGAGGGCACCCGCCCTCACTGCCCAGGTGACCAGGTAGGGGAGCCTCTCTCCACACTTGGCTATTTCTTGGCTCTCAAAGTGCTTAACGGATTAATTAGTTCCTCATCAAATTGTTGTGGGATTAATTAGTTAGTTAATCCCCAGGGACTCCCAGCCAATCTTCCATTTCTCTATTTTTTATTTGTCTGCCTTCAGGATCCATCCTCCCCTGGACATGCTGCAGGGGGTGGACAAGCGTGACTTCAGCCCAGCTCTCGTCAGTACAGGACAGCTACCCTCACTGATGCACCCCGAATGAAGTGTAGGCGATTTGAAAAGGCAGGAGTTCTGGGGAGTGCTGGCACTTCCCCCCTCTCCAGCCCCTCTGGTTGGTTTGAGCTCTGTGGCCGTCACAAGGTTTGAACCTGGACAGAGCAGCTGCTGGGGGTTGGGGGGACAGGTAGTTGGGTGGGCAAAGGGGTGTGAGCCAGCTGCCTTGGACATGGCTATCACGGCTGTGCTCTCTCCTCTGCAGCACACCTCAACCAGCTGCCCCCGGAGATGCTTTGGGGTGACTTCCTCCTCCAAGGAGGACCTCAGTGAGGACTATTGCACCTTCATTCTTGAATAGAGAAGGGAGAGCCACGGAGTTCTACTTTGTTTCACAGCTCACAGAGGGACTCATGATCATCGCAATGGCTACCAGGTTTTTCTCAAAGTAGGGTTCCTAGGCATCTCCCCAAAACCTGTAAGAAACACATTCTTGGGACTCACATGCTGATTCAGAAGTCCTAGAGGTGGGACCAGAAATCTGTGATTTAACAAGTCTTCAAAGTGATTCCAGTGCTTGTTAAAGTTTAAGAGCTTCTGCTCCACAATTCTAGAAGACAAGGGCTGTAACTTCCTCAACAGTGAGCCTCAGTGCCCAGGGAGTGTCTGGCCTGTAGACGTAGACAATAAGTGTTCACTGAATGCGCCAGGGAGCCATCAGCAGGGACCACAGCAACCTTAATACTAGAAGTACAGATCCTTGTCGCATGAAAAGCTCTATTTTCACAGCTGCTGATTTATCTGTCTTTTCATCGGGGCAGCACGTGTAGAGGTCAAATGCTGGCTTGAGAATCAGATTGTCTGAGCATGAAAGTTACCTCCATGCTTAGGCTGTGTGACGTTGGACACATTACACAGCCTCTCTGAACTGTATTACTTGTAAATTGAGGTTATATTGTTTGTCTTATAGTTTAGGATTAGACAATTGAATTATTTGGAGTTTATTAAGCACGTCACAGTTATTCAAAAACAGAATAACCCTCAGAGGCAGCTGGCGGATATGTACTGGAGACGTGTGTCTCCTGCCTGGGAATAATCAGCCTCATCAGAAGACCTTCTCTCTTTGCACTTGACCTCTGACCTCACAATGGCCCCTCGCCATATGTATAGATATTGCAATAATCCTGATGGAGATGCTATACGTGTCAGCATTGGAGATGTATGAACTGATGGTAGAGAGGAGGGGTGTGGAGCTAGAATGATTCATTTTAAATTGAAAGACACTTTATAACAAAAGACTTGCAAAAGGCAAGGACTGATTAAAACCTGTGCAGAGAGGCCCTGCCCAAATCAAAATTAATGGTATAAGCAGAGGCATCAGATGCCTGTGGACTCCTTCCTGCAGTCCTGAAGCCTCTCCGAGGTTTGGGGAGCCGCCGGGGGCTCTTGCTCTGGGAAGTGGCAGCTTCCTCCCTGCAGATGACAGATTCTAGGACCCTCCAGTCTGGGTCCCACCCATTCTGCATGGTCAGTCTCCCGAACCTTACATGTCTCCCCTTTTTTCTGCCCTTTGAATTGTATGCCAGCGTTATTGTAATGTGGCTTCTCTCCAGTAGATTCATACTGTGATATTGCACTTGGCGGCAGCTTGGGTCATAAGGGAAACCTTCCCATTTCATGGGAGTGAGCCTTCTAGAGATCCCAAGCCTGATAAAACAGCCCTACTTTTCTCACAAGCTGGTCCTTTTGGTATTAGGTCCTCAGTTCTGGGTTCTTCTTAGAGGCCATGTTTCCTGACCCGTCAGGCCCTCCCTAGTATTTGTGGGCCCTGAAGTGTGAGTACCCTCTTTACCCCGCCCCCCCATTCCAGCTCGAGCAGGGGCCCTGTGTGTGGCGAGAGGGGGGTGGTGGTGGAAATGGGGGGTCAGTGCCTGTGGGAGTTAGGCCAGTGGCTCAGGGCACCTTAGGAGGACAAAGCTGGCACAGAGGCCTGGTTAGTTACCAGAGTGCATTTAAGCAGGGGAATCAGGAGGTCCTGACAGCCAGAACGTGGCTTAAATTAAGAGGTTAAATCTTGCCTGGCCATTTTCAGGCCGTGTGACCTCGGGAGGTCCCTTCCCTTCTCGGGCAGGCCTGCTGTCTGGGAAGGAGCAGCGTATATACCCACCTTGTAAGGGACAGTGTGCGATGAGGTGAGAACATGGTCGCAGCCACAGGCCCTTCCTTCCCAGCCCCCTCAGGACATTCAACGGTGTGGGGAGAAAGAGCTGAACCGGCGTGGGGGTGTGGGACAGGGAGAAGGAAGACGGGCCTCCAGGGGCCTCCTGGCCTCGCCACCAAAACAGGTGCTCAGAGGAAGGGGGCTCAGTGTCTCGGACCCCACTGGGCAGCCCCAGCACTCCCTGCCTGGTGGAGGCTGGCCAAGGGGTGCAGGGCTGTGTCTGTTTTTAAGAGGACGATTTTAAATTCAACTCCAATGGGGCTGTTGGTGTAACATGTTGAAAGTCTGTTCTTTGATAGATTTTCTTCTGTCTTCATGTTTATTCAACACAAACGATGCCCTTAATACAGCAGACAAACACCAGGTGTAACTAAATCATATAGCTCAGCAGGGGCTCGGCATTATTCTTCACGACTAACCCAGATTGACAACTCTCTTAATAGGATTAGGGCTCGCTGTGGAACTGTTTTCTCTTATTAATTTGGCTTGACTTACATATGCATTTTGAATTGGCTTGGGAGAGAGGCGTGCTTGTTTCTTGAAGTAATTCGATGGCATTATTTAAAACACGATTTCCTCTAATGAAGAAGCAGACCTCTCAGTCATGATGTAAAGTCACCTCTGTATTTCATACAAAATTTTAGGGTTATATCCAGACTTGTTTTTTTCACGAAACTTTAGTTGAATATAATTCTTGTGACAGATAAATGCCTTCTGTTGTTTTGGATATTTTATTTTTGAGGTGCAGGATTTTCCCAATAATGTCAATCATTTGACAAACCTTGAGTGTGTGTGTGTGTGCATTTGCTCAATTCCCACATGACAAGCAGCACACAAGGCTGAGGACAGAGATGAGAAAGCCAGCCCTCTCCGTGAGAAGTGCACAGGGTGGTGGGTGTGAGCCTTCCCACGGAGACAATGTAAGAAGCCAGCATTCAGGCTTTATGGGAGCCTGAAGAGGGTGGCCCAACCCAATCTTTGGTGGGCCGAGCAATCCACAGAATGTTCTAGAAGAAGTGATCTGAGCTAAAGTCTTACAGGAACGAAAGGAGCACAGAAACAGCGTGTATGGCACAAACCAGGATCGATGAACAGTCTAGGCAGCGAATGGGAGCAGGAAAGACTGGAAAATGGAGCCTTATATCATGGCGTCCTGGCTGGGGGTGAGAATATTGTTCTCAAAAGTCATGATACGCTTTTTTTTTTTTAAAGATTTATTTATTTATTCATACAGAACTGGGGTACAGGCCAGAGGCTCAGGGGCGGTGAGAGGCTTCACCAGAGACAGAGTGGGGAGCAGAACAGGCAGATCGACGAAGTACACTGCTGAGGGAAGCAGCGGGCGGGTCAGGAGAGGTCTGGCTCGCCATGTGGTCTCCTCCGGGGCAGGCGGGAATCGAACTCATGCGGAAGTGGCTTCAGATTCTCAGTGCTGTGCTTTAACCCGCTGCGCCACCAGGGAGGGCCATGATACGCTTTTTAATTTTTTTTAAAAAAATAAACGAGGGAGGAACAAGACCAGGTATACATTTGGGAAATCTCCCTTTTGAGAGCAGACAAAGTGGGAAAAGCTCTGTAAGAGCTAGAGCAGTAACGGGTGAGCGCTGTGAAGCCTATGGTTGGGGAAGGTTGAGAATTAGAGGTGACTCGGGGACTCCCAGTGTGCGACCATGGGAGGGGGGACGGGGCGAGAGTGACTTTGGTTGCTGGCATGGGGGACGTATCCCAGGGTAAGGCCTACAGGAGCAGCAGGTTTGGGGGACGCTGAGTGATACAGCCAGGGTATGAGCCTCTCCTCGAAGGTGCTCGCGCAGCGGACCCAGCCCTGAAATGGAGGCAGGAGGAGTGGACTAGGGGGACAGATTCAGGCGCTGCTGAAAGCAAAGTGAGGTGCACCCACGGCAAACGTGGGGACT